ATCTATACCTGAATTTCGACGATTCTTTTGCAGAAACGTAATCCACTGTAGTCGTGCAATTTTGCCTAAACTATCAATTTTGTAGCATTATACGTTTGAGTAGAAATTTGTAAAAATTACTCACGTAAGCATACTCGGCTGTTGGAATATCCATTTTTAGCAGGGCAACTTCAGCGAGAAGACTCCTAAATCTCAAAATTTACTTTCACAATTGGAATAAGGCTTATTAGTGTTTAAAGTAATATAGTGGAGAAGCAACGAAAATCACCATAAACGTGGATGCGGATTTTTTCCTATAAATTCAGTCGCTTCTTCAATTTTTAGACGTTCCAGTAGTTGTTTTGCATCCCGCAAGGACTAAAAAAAGGAGTTAGTCTTTACTAGAAGTCTAAAAAAAAGTAAGGAAACGTCGTATCTTCATGGGATCTTAAGTTTTTGATTATAACATTGTATTACAAGGATGGATAATTCTGTATTTTCTATCCTTAAAAATCACCTTTATTTCTAAATCGATTATAAACCTCCCATCTGCTTTTGCTTTGTGCAAAAGAAAGTTGTCGAGAAGAACTGTGCGTACCACTAGACCCCGGAATGAACATATATATCTGCAAGAAGCATCCTTATTGTTAGGGTAGAATTGTGGTAAAGGCTACCCTTACCCTTCACATGAAATCCCTTCCTCAGCTTCTTTCCCTCGCAAAACAACAAGCTTTTGTTTGGAAAGGTATGCAATTGAATCGTCTTGCTCTTCATCCCATTTGAAGTCAGCAACCTCTTTGACATCCATGCCACTAATTTTATCAAAAGCATTCTCGCCAACTTCAAAGAATTGGAGAAGATTGGCTGTGTCTGAAGTGATACTGCTTGTTGAACTGAGATTTTCTTTCACAGTAAGCTAAAAAACCAACCAACAGCTGCTAGCTTTCTGCACGATGTGTTTAGCTCCATTTTTGTTATGTTTGGTATAAAGATAAGACGTTGTTGAAGACTTCCGTCGTGTAGCGACACTTTGTAAACGGAACCGGAGTCACAGTACTTCAAAGTTAGCATAAGAACGCACAGAAACAAATTTCATGAGCTAAAAGTGACTTACAAGAAGGCAGAATTTATTCCCCAAACACGTCTGGATAATTTGATCTGGCGGTCGCTAGAAATTAGAAACTTAATCCGAGACAGGAAGGATTGATCCTGGATTTTTTTAATACCAAGAGTCTATGATATATTAATGTAAAACGTTGAATTAGATAACCTGTATTAGGTAAGTGATATCAGAAATAGTTTTCTCCTTCTAAAATTTAGCACAAAAGTCTCAAGCTAGCAAATGTGCCCAAATTTGATA